TCAATAACTATTGTCTGAGAATTTCATTTTATTGCATTTAATTATTATCAATAAGTTTCATGAACAAAAAGAGAATGAGCCACCTGTGATTGCAGCTGAATTCAAAGTTTCAAACCGTTAAATATTGCTAATTCCAAATTAAAATCAGATTTTTTATAAAATTTCTCAAAAATTGGGCAAAAGTCCCTGTACTATAGTACGGGGACTTTGGCCAAATTTCGCCAAAAATGAAAAGTAGAGAATTCTCCATTTTAATGATATTTTCTGATGCATATACATGTACTTATGTTGCATAGAAAGTTTGAGCTGATTCCAATCAAAATTAGATTTTTTTAGAATTTTTAAAGTTGCTAGAGACTCTTACAGGTACATGTACATAAAGTGACTATAGAAGATGTCATTCTTATATAAAGAAAACTTGTGCATACTGTGAAGCAAGTGAGACTAAGAGAGAGGGAAAAGAAAGGAAATGAAAAAGTTATAATTGTGAGAGACATCAAATAAAGAAAAGTCTTCATAAACAAAAATAATGTAAAGTGTTCAGGTCACGGGCGCTAGCACCACTCACAAGAGCCTAACGTGGTGACCTAGACCGTGACCTACTTCGTCTACGTCTCGGAGGTGACCTGCGAGGAGACCGATTGCGAGGACGTGGTGGGCTCCTTTTCCAGGCCCCACCCCTGTGACGAGGTGGAGACCGATAATAGCGTCTACGAGGCGGAGAAAAGTTACGGAAATGCTTTCCCTCATTTCTTGAGGGGAGAACCAGCTGTATTGTAACCTGCTGACCGTCAATCCATCCACCATCCATGTGTTTCATAGCAGCTGTGGCATTGTCAGGAGTGTCAAATTCAACGTAGCCGTGACCACGCGGGAGGAAATTAAGTCTATCAAGAGGAAGATCAATGTTCTTGACTTTGCCAAAGTTTGAGAATACCTCGTTGAGGTGTGGCTTGGTAACATTACGAGTTAACTTGCCAACAAATACTTTCGTTGGTTTGGGGGTGGGGCTACGCTCTTTGCGGCGCTTTGGAGAGGAGGGAGAGGGCGAGCGAGAGCCTTTAACACGAGAGAACCTCTTACGAGAACCAGCACTGCTGGAGGAGCTACGGGAAGAACTGGAACGAGAACGGGAACGAGACTTTGAACCAGACTTGGAACGAGAACGAGATTTCGATCTAGAACCCGAGCGCCTAGACCCTACGCTAGGAGATGGCGAGACATCCTTTGCCTCTGATTTATCAGAGACAACCTTCTTATCCTCAGCTGGATCAGAGGGAGGAGGTCCAGCAGGAGGAGGAGGAGGAATGTTAGCACGTGGTTTCTGATCCTCTTCTCCTACCTGATCTTGCTTTATTGAAGTGGGAGGAGGAGGAGCAAGAGGAGGAGGAGGGGGAACACCTTTATCCTTCTCTTGTCTGGTTGGAGAGGTTTTACGAGGTGTAGTTGTCTTAGGAGTGTCTGTTTCCTCTTTTTGACTGGTCTTCTTTGGTTCAGGTTTAGCTGAGGATTTTGAGTACTTCTTATTGCTCGGAGAAGGCGATCGGCTCCTGCTAGAGCTGCTGCTTCTACTGCTGCTTCCTGAGCTGGAGCGAGATGAGCGTGAGGAGGATCCAGAGGAAGAGGAACGAGAGGAATCACTACTGGTACTGCTCCTACGACCCCGACTATAAATAGAATAATAATAATAATGACAGCATTAAAAGGATAGAGCAGTATACATGTATGTCTCTATTGGCTGTCAGACACGGGGAAGTGATTTTCACAAGTCAAAATGTGATCAACTTCAAATAGAGCTAAATTATAACATCATCCAGCCAAACCACACCCACTCCCACAATTACCTCCTCGATCTACTCCTTGATCTCCTCCTACTGGGACGTCCCCTTGGAGACGAGGGTCGACCACGCCCACCATAACTCCGATACTGGTTTCTCCCTCGGTCCCGTCTCCTGTCCCAATCGTTCCGCCCCCTCACTCTATCATCCCTACGTCTCACAGGACTCCGCCTATCTCTCTCCCGCCCACGGGGGGAATAAGAACGAGACCTTCTCCTCCTCCCTCGATCCCTTGAACGACTTCTACTTCTACTTCTTGGCCTACACACAAATAATAATAATAATAAGCCAAAAACTCTCCCCAACCCTTGATCAGTACAACGTGAACACGAGCAGTTACAATAATCTGATATATATACACGCTAGTACTGTACAATATAAAGCATAAGAATACTAATAGTACTGGTAAGAGAATATACTCACATCCTGAGAAGAAGATGGCAGGAGATTCTCTACTCTCAGGCTCACCAAGAGGGCGCCATGTACACCTGCTGCTGTGTGGGTAGGCGGGGCTGAAAATTTTAACCACACCTATTACATGAGTGAGCGTCAGTTAATTAAAAGTTATTAACTTTTTATTCTAATTAGAGTGCAGGTTCAGCCCTCATGGCTGTGTTTGCTGTCCTCTTCTCTCTTGTTTTCTTTCCTCTCATTCTCTTCGTGTCTGGGACCATCCTCCTCAGTCTCAAGTGGAGGGAAGAGGATGGAAAGAAGAGGGTACAGGTTGTAGTTTTGGGTGACATCGGACGGAGCCCGCGCATGCAGTATCACTCACATTCTCTCGCTCTTCAGGACTTTGATGTGGACATTATCGGCTATGGAGGTATAGGAGAGACTCTAAGCAGCCCTGTATTTATATATTTTATAAGTATACTCCATCTTTCCCCCATATTAAGTGCCTCTATCTATCTCTTTCTTTCTTTCAATGTCATAGGCTCTCAGCTCATTCCTTCTCTGTCCAAGAGTGCCAAGGTCAATGTCTATTACCTACCTGATATACCAGAGAGGATTAACAGTGAGTCTTCAGTTCTATTCCCTTTCCTCTTGCTCTACTCTCTCTTTTACATCCTTTGAGATTTACATGTACATGTAGATGTAGAATGTGGCATGACTTTATTCTCCTTATTTCCTCCTCTTGTTTGTTGTCTTTCTATTCACTATCTTTCATTCTCTCTTTTTCCTACAGGACTACCTTCTCTTCCTCGCTACATTTCTAAAGTTTTATTCCAAACGGTTACTCTGTTCTGGACTCTGATCAAGAAGACGAAAAAACCATCAAACGTTTTACTCCAGGTCCGTATGGTCGTGTACATGTACATGCAGTACCTAATATACATGTACATATGATGTACGTGTACATGTTTTTATCAGTTTGTGTGTTTACAGTAAATATATTGGCTATATCTCTTGGCCGTGGTCTAATTCTCTATTTTTCATTTTTGGCAAAATTCGACCAAAGTCCCTGCACTACAGGGACTTTGGCCCGATTATAAATCTACCGATTATAAATCTAGTTTGATCAGAATCAGCTCATAATATCCTCACAACACGAGTACACATACATGTACATACATGTACATGTACACTGGTTGCTAGAGACAGCTGTGTTGCATTCTTTCATAATTTGAATATTTTTTTATTTTCGTCATCATCAATGTCTATGGTCTGTATCATAGTACGGCTCTTAGCTTCCTATAGTAAAATATTCTCTAGTACTTCTATTAATGATACAAGATACACAATGATATTAATGATAGATTAATGAAAGGCTTGTTTTTTAGACTCCTCCTGCCATACCAAGTCAGTTTGTCCTGATTCTAGTGTCTTTGCTAAGAGGAAGCAAGCTAATAGTCGACTATCATAATTATGCTTATACGATAATGGCTCTCTCTCTTGGGGAAAATCACATCCTTGTGAAGCTTACCTGGATGTAAGTGCCTTTGCATAGAATATAGTATCCTTTTAATTCTGTCTCCCTCTCTTTTCTCTCTCTCCTCCCTCTCTCTCTTTAGATACGAGAGAGTGATGAGTTTCTTTGTCAGCGCTAGGTTGTGTGTATCTGACGCTATGAGAAAAGACCTTCGGAAGAACTGGGGAGTAAAGTAAGTTTTATTGTATGAAATATTTATTACGAATAATGTTTCTGAACAAAATCTATGTGTTCTTGCTTTTATTTTTATTTTTATCTTTTTTTTTGATATCTACTGTAGTTCATATGTCATGTATGATAGACCTCCTAATATATTCCAAGTTGTATCTACTGCTCAAAAACACGAGGTGAGTCTCTAAAGGGAGATATTACATTTTCTGATACATATTGATGTACTTATGCTGTGTAGAAAGTTTGAGCTGATTCCGACTTCAATTTTTTAAGTTATGGCCATTTTAAGAAAATGCCAAAATTCTGAAAAGTACCCAAGGCTATAGCCCATGGTTTTTTCCAAAAAATGGCTCCAAAATCACCCCCAATTTTTATTACATTTTCTGATACATATTGATGTACTTATGCCGTGTAGAAAGTTTGAGCTGATTCCGACTTCAATTTTTTAAGTTATGGCCATTTTAAGAAAATGCCAAAATTCTGAAAAGTACCCAAGGCTATAGCCCATGGTTTTTTCCAAAAAATGGCTCCAAAATCACCCCCAATTTTTATTACATTTTCTGATACATATTGATGTACTTATGCTGTGTAGAAAGTTTGAGCTGATTCCGACTTCAATTTTTCGAGTTACGGCCATTTTAAGAAAATGCTAAAATTCTGAAAAGTACCCAAGGCTATAGCCCATGGTTTTTTCCAAAAAATGGCTCCGAAATCACCCCCAATTTTTATTACATTTTCTGATACATATTGATGTACTTATGCTGTGTAGCAAGTTTGAGCTGATTCCGATTTCAATTTTTCGAGTTACGGCCATTTGATGGTACATACATGTACATGTATATTAATTATCCATAGTAGACCCCACTATTGCATGCTGTATAGTATGTTCATGTTTTCTATTCTTTAGTTGTTTCTGAAGCTCTCACAAACCATCCCAATATTTAAAGACAATGGAAACGAAAAGAATGTGTATGTTCATATGCTAATACATACACTTGTATCTTCTTTACAATGTCACTTGTCACTCTCTCCTTCTGTTCTTCCATTAGCTCAAGAACAGGGTTCAGCGAGAGTACCCCAACTGGCACTAGACTGAGAGATGACAGACCATTCCTTCTTGTCAGTAGCACCAGCTGGACAGGTACATGAACACAACTATCTCTTACTGCTGTTGTTTACTGTTGTTGTTTACTGCTGTTGTTTACTGCTGTTGTTTCCTAAATCTGTAGAAGATGAAGATTTCAGTATACTTCTAAAGGCACTTGAAAGTGAGTCCAGTCCTATTGATTGAGGACAGGTGGGGTGGATTCGTTCAAATTTTTTTTTTCTTGTTTAGTATATGAAGAAAAAGCTAAAGATCCTGGCAACAACCTCCCAACTATTGTCTGCATTATAACTGGTACTGTTATTATTATTATTATTATTATTATTATTATTATTTTGTTATTATTATTATTATTATTATTATTATAACAGGTAAAGGCCCTTTAAAGTCTTACTACGAGGACCTAATTAAAAAGAAGTGCTTCAAACAAGTCAATATTATCACGATGTGGCTTTCTAGCGAAGACTATCCAGTTCTTCTAGGTATTGTACTTGTACATCTCTGCTTACTCTAGTGTCGCGGTTTAATGAATTCACTTTATTTTTAGCATCTGCTGATCTTGGGGTCTGTTTGCACAAATCTTCATCAGGTCTTGATCTTCCAATGAAAGTACGTACATACATTTCTTAATGGACGCTCTCTATAGCGTACACCTCCATTTAACAGACAGCACCTAGTGTACCAATTACATTCCTTACTGTATAAAACAACCTCCACATAAAGGACACCTCTGTATAACAGAGACACTGCCTTGTCCACAAGTGTCCATTATATGGAGGCTATATACTGATGTTGAATTCATTTTTTGTGTTGTTTTTTAATGTTTTAGATTGTTGATATGTTTGGCTGTGGCCTTCCAGTCTGTGCTTTTCGCTTTGAATGGTAAAACAGTTTATTTCTCACATATTATTTTTATTTTTATTTTTTGGATTTTAGTCTTCACGAGTTACTTAAAGACGAACACAATGGTTTGGCGTTTGACACCCACCAGCAGCTAGCAGGCCAGCTGCAGGTATGTATCATGATCCATTGTTGCATCCTTGTGATGCTATTAAGTATAAAGTTTGAGCCGATTCTTTTATCTTTATTTATTATTCCAGAGGCTCTGCAGCGGTTTCCCTTCACCTAATACGTCTCTCAATCGATTTCGTGACAATCTCGTGTCCTTTCACAGTCTAAGATGGCACCATTACTGGAAGTTGCATGTTCTTCCTTTAGTAACTGGACACTTATAATTATAATAATGATGATACTTATCTTCTCATTTTCTGATAATTGTTTTAGTTTTATCCCTTCATGATATTAGTGTTTTTGTCTTTTATTTGATTTTTCTTTTCAGCAGTAGAAAAAGAGTTTATTTTTCTCTTATTCTCTCAGCCACTCCCTCTATAATTCTGACCACGTGTGTGCACGTGGTCGTAGAAACCTCGCACAAAATGGCGTTTAATGTGAGAGGATTGGTTTCTTCTCTTTTGTCTCGTTTTCCGCCAACAGAACTTGTGTTTGCTTATGGATCAGCGGCCTTACAGCAGCACGGGAGAGATAAGGTACTGCACAAAAAGTTCTAAATATAAATGGAGGACTTTTGGAGCCACTTTTTAACAAGAGAAGTGTTGATATATGGTGGGTTTCCATATTAGGGCAAGATGCTTGATCTGGTCTTTGTTGTGAATAACTCTCAGTCGTGGCATAAGGAGAACATTCAAACTAATCCATCTCATTACTCTTTCTTAAGGTATTCAAGAAGCTACATCATTTATGATACATTAAATGATGATTATGATGATGTAGATATTTAGGCGAGTCTTACATAGTTAATGTTCAACACAGACCAGCTGGACTATACTACAATACACTGGTTCATATTGATACTCATGATCAAGTATGAAATGTCCTTAAACTCTTAGCAATCGCATGTTATTTTTATTTTTAAAAACTCTCTCTCTCTCTCTCTATTTCTCTGTTTATCCAGCTAATCAAGTATGGAGTGATGTCGGTTGGTGATTTCTGTAGAGATTTGAATGAATGGGAGTGGCTATATGCTAGTGGGCGTATGCAGAAGCCAGTCACATTATTAATCAATTCAAAGAATGACACTACACATCATGAGCTGAGCAGGGCTGTACAATACAATCTGCAGTTTGCTCTCTTAACTTCACTGCTACTACTGAACAAACCAGTCGTAACAGAATGGGAATTGTTTCTGAAATTAATAAGTATTTCTTATATGGGTATGTGCATGCTTTTGAATTGAAGTGTTTAAAACTTTCTATTATTTCTCTCTCTATCGGTCAATAGGCGATTTCAGGATGACTGTTGGAGAGGATAAGAATAAAATTATTAATATATTAAAGCCAGCTGTTCCCGAATTCAAACAACTCTATTCACCATTTATTAATCAATATTTAACTCTAAACAGTGATAGCTCCTACACAGTCAATGTAAGTATATTGCTGTGTTTACAAGTTCACATCTCTATTCTTTTCATTTTTATGTAGATCTCCTTAAAAGTTGAAGATCATGCAAGACAATTGCCATCAAAAGTTTATAAAAACATGCAAAATGGACAGACTTTAGAAGAAGGTTAATTTCTTTAAAATTTTCATTTATCTTCTTTTGTACAGCTATTACATCAATAGTTACTGTCAGCAGTAGACAGCAAGCTTTAAAAGGAATATTAACAGCAGGTACATGATTAATAAACAGTATTTGATTTGTGTGGTATCATTACTTGTCATATAGGGGCTAAGAAAACAATTGTCTACAGTGGCTTAAAACTAGTCAAAATGTTTAAAAGTTTATTCTAGTGCTTGTGGATCATTACATTAATCACATGTTGAATTATATGCAGCTAATGTTCCCAGCTAGTATTATAGTTAGTTAGCTTCACTCCTTGGCATCGTTGATGCCTCCTGGAGTTATGGCAAATGTAGCTTCATTCTCAGGCATGTCAGGGCTATACAATGTAATAGGATCTAATACTGACACACAAGATACTACTATTGATTATACCTGTCATATATCTTTGCTATGCGTACTTCTCCTCTTCCTTTCCTAAGGCTAATTCGTGTTGTAGAAGCATGAGCTAATATGTGACCTCCTATTGGCTTCTTAGGATCAGCTTGAAAGCTAAAGATGATATAATGTAATTAGAAATGACTTTATCTCCCATTCCTTCTCTTTGAGTGTCTTTCCTTCATTTTATACTTACCTCATTGTAGCTGTTTATGCATAGTGAATGTGTGTATGCAGATAAAATATTAAAAGAACTATAACTACAGTCATTTCATTTTTATTGCCATACCTCCAGGATCAGCAGTCATTTGATTAGTGACAAACACTCCAACATTATATTCTAAGAAGAGGTGTGGAGGATTTCTTTATCACAAGGAGTAATACATAAATAGCCAAACCTTCTGATATTTTTTGTAGCCTTGAGAGCATTTGAGCCAGTTTTTGCTGTCTGTCAGCAAGTTCACCTCGTCCACTGAAATCAACACGGAATAGAGCCATGATTGAATCAACAATCTTTTATATAGAAAGTAAAAATGTAATCACCGTCATCATCATTATGGATAACAAACTCGTACAAGGAGTTTAAAGACTCCCGGCTCTTCGTGGAACTTTGCAGCAACGCAGTCAAGGAGCTCCATTTGATGCTCACCTGAGACAGTTAAAGTGTAATTATTTTAAACTGCAGTGTTTCATAATTTCTCTTACTCGTATAAGCTCTGGCATACAATACATTGTCAAGCATAGCCGTATGATCTAAATTGAACCTGTCAGCAATCTCTCTTAATCGATCAGGACGACTATACATGGATATTAATTAAAAACATGTCCATGCACTGTGGTCACTTGCAATGTATTCTCTGTATCGATGAATACAACTTTCCCTCCTGAATATCCATTTTTACCAGGTAACTGTGCAGTTACTATAAGCATGTGTGCCATATATTGATGTATACTGTTATACACTAACTTACCACATAGGGTATGTGATAGTTGAGTCTTGCCAGTTCTGAACTCTGCATAAAAGAACAATGTGTACATGTACATGTACAACACGTACATGTACATGTACATGATTGTGTATGCAAGCATTGTGTTCACCTCCAAATACTTCAGTGATAGCCATGCTTTCTATTCCACCTACAGTAAAGAGCAGAACCATAGAGTATATGTGTACTGTTTATAAGATTACCTCCTAAAAGTTTGCTATGATAGGAGAACAGATGATAATAATTATTATCAGACATATTTAATACTTTTTCTAGCTTACTCTAACTCCTGGCTGCCAGTTGCTATACGAAATACCATCCTCCTCTTATCACTGTACTCCAATGCAGTCAGAAAGTCACTGGACTGTGAAAAAAATCATTTTCTATCATTTGCCTCAAATGAGAACTTACTGAGAGCTTTCCTGCAGCCTCCTATAAATGTATAATGGCTATAATATATAATGGATATCATAAGCTTGTAACTACTGAAGAATACAATGTACTGATGCAATCATGCAATGTCAGTAGACAATTAGTCTATAAGGACTGGTTGTAACTTGTTATTGTCTCAGGTATAACATGCATGAAGGGCAGTAGTTTGGAACAGGTGGTGTTATACTTAAGAGAGAACACTGTAGGTGCCAGGATCAGTGATTCAATGTGCTATGATACCTTTATCTTGTCAACTTTAGCTTCAGAGATTCCTTTGATATTGCACAGTTTCTTTCTAGTAGTCATTTGAATTCCCTAAGCAAAAGTTAAGAATAAAGATCCATGATGTGTTTGTGCAGTGTTTAAATTGGCACTGATATCATGCCGGTTGAATCAGTTGGACATTGTAGGCTGTATGTACTACTTACTTTGACAGTGCATATTCCTGCTGACTTGAGCTTCTTAAGATCAGCCACATTCTAAAATGCAAGAGAATATAAGCTGTAAACACAGCTGAGCTAGACTTACAATGCCATGGTTCTGGAGGACATCAATGTCTTGGAAAAATGATTCCTGCATCAGTGTAAAATCAATTTTAAATCAGAAATTTGTCATGATTACTTGAACAACTCACATCATCCAAATTGTCTTGGAGCTCATTGCTGCACACGACTTGATCTTCATGCTGGAACATGTTCTTTAAGCTTCAGCAGTCTCAGCCTCCAAAATGAGCAGAAAGTTTTAGCAGCCTAGCAGCAGTTGATAATGCGCGAAAAGGCACTATGCATCACGTGATCAACTTTAATTTATAACTATATCCTTAATAAATTTATAACTAGAAATCCCGCCTACTCAAACTGAGCATGCGCAATAATTGCGGCCAATTTCCTATTCCTGCTGCATCAGTCTTTCTGTGGGGCTCCATTTTCTTTTTCATTCTTTCTCCCTTTCTCTCTCAAATTTGATTGTAAGTTAGCCCATGGCTCCCTAGGACATTTATCTATTTTTTCTCTCCTAATGCAACCAGATAGGAGACATGGCCGAGGGCGCTGACCAAGCTGAGCAACTCCCTCCAGAAGTCCCAGAGGTAGAGTGACCTAATTAGTTTGTACAATTATTATTATTAGTAGTGCATGAGATTAGTGTCTCATAATTCAATTACACACACGTACAGACTCAGTTCCCTTTATGATATTACAGGGAGAAGAGGATGAGACCACGCCAGGGTACAAGGCTCCTAAAAAGGTCGACTTACAAACTATACAGCAGATGGACGCTGACGACGAGTCCCTCGTCAAGTACAAGCAGCAGCTGCTGGGGCAGACAGCGGGTATTTTAGGTGAGGGAATGGTGTACAATTAAAGTTATTAGTATAATGACATGCAAAGAATTCAATACCTTATTTAGTATGAGGGTGGAACTGGCTTTATAATTATCTCTTGTTATGATTTGGTTTGCTTTGTTTTCAGTTGAGTGTCTTTTTGGCAGCCATTAGAGTAATTATGTTAAACACTTGTAGTGTACAAGCTCATTTTACTCTTTAAGTGTCCTTTTTGTTTTATAATTGGAAATTTGTGAAGATGACAATTTATAATGATCAACTAAACATTCCACATGATCCTTATACTGTTGATGTTTTGAAGTGACGGTTTGGTAGTGCGTCGTTTGTCTTGTGGTGAAATGAATAAAAGTGGGCATATTTTGTTTATGTTTTGAGATTTCACTATCTTCCACATGATTATCAGTTACATTGGTAGCTCTTTGGTTTGGTTTTGTTAACTTAAGATATAAACCAGTAGGTACATAACTCCACTAGTACATAGTGATTCCTCCTGTAGCTGAAGGAGACAGTGTTACAAAGGAGGGCTGCCATGGGTGATTTATTTCACACAATGACAGAATGATTGGTTAAAAAATGTACTCTGTAGGAGTGTCAGATGATTATGAATGTCCATACAATGTCACTATTGTGATACTTAGTATTTGTGCTTTCATCATGAAACTACATGTACATGTTTGTGCAATGAATATATTGAATCAATGACTACTGATAATTGTTGCCTAAACAGAGAATGTGTAATCAACCCTGTTCTCTCTCCCTCTCTCTCTCTCCCTCTCTCTCTAGACGAAGGTGGCTCAAATGTGCTACTAAAGCAGATGATTATTGCTCCAGAAGGCCGTGACGAAATCACTTTAGATCTCACTGGTATGTTACTCTGTGATGCAAACCGAATCAAAATTACATTGCTGCATTTATATTTTATTAATAACTGGCTATTCATTTTGTGTAGGTGATCTGTCTAAGTTTAAGAAGAACCCAGTAGTGATAAAGGAGGGGACGCAGTATCGGCTTAAAATTGTCTTCCGTGTTCAGAGGGAGATTGTCTCAGGTCTCCGCTACAATCATGGAGCCTTTAGGAAAGGAATAAAAGGTACTAAGCAAGAAGAAATTATATCATCTCCTGGGAGAGAGAGAGGGGGGAGGTTTTAAAAGTACTTGTAACAATTATTGTTAAGATAAAGTTATGTCAGTTTGATTACATTCTCTTTCATTTTTATCACAACAGTTGACAAGTCCAACCTAATGGTTGGGAGCTATGGTCCTAAGACAGAAGCACATGTCTTTACTACACCTGTAGAAGACGCACCCAGTGGTATGCTTGCTAGGGGGGACTACACCATCAAGAGCAAGTTCACCGACGATGACAAGAACCCCATCCTTGAGTGGGAGTGGGTTTTAAAGATCGCCAAGGATTGGGAGAAATGAGAATAGTCTGTCTTTATGTGGCCATTTTGTTTCTTTTTGACTAAGAATGATTGTAGCGATTTATAATTATTGTAGATACGTTTTGTTGTGTAGAAGTTAATTATTATTGTTGTTTTTGTTCTTTTTGTTTTGCCATTTTTCAGTTGTGGCCTTTTCAATTTGTAATAATTTATTAAAAATACACTTAATTTTTACCTTGTTGTAGTGGGCTGGGCTTCATATTAAATGTCTTTTTCTCATTTACTATTTGGATATTGTTCAAGATTTTGTAAGCTAAACAAACTCCTTTAAATCAATTTAGTTGCTGTTATTTCATAATTTAGTTTTCAGACAGACCAGCTCTAGCAGGAATTGCTTTAAAAAGTCAAACTTGTTGCATAAATCTCATCTGTCATTTACCCATCACTCGTCTCCCATCACAGTGTCACAAAAGGACATGTACATTAAACTGATTCCCGCCCTAAAGGACAATTACATGTACCTCCTGGTAGACGAGGAGACGAAGGAGTCAGCTGTCGTTGATCCTGTGGAACCGGAAAAAGTTAATAATAATATTATTATTATTAAATAATAATTATTTTTGATGATAATGAATTAATTAATACTGTAATTTTAGGCAAAATTCTAATTGCCAAACCATTTTAAAAAGCAATTCACGACTTTTTAAATAATTTTTTTTTAATTAAAATATAACAACGATTATTTTTCATGCTCTTTATAATAGGTCCTTGAACTAGTGAAAGAGGAACAGGTAAAACTGACCACGGTTCTAACGACACACCACCATTGGTGAGCAAGCTATTTTATGTCATTTGTACTTCATTTTTGAGCTATGATAAAACAATAATAAAATAATTAATACAATAACTTGTCGCTTTTAAAAATAATTTTGTGATAAGGGATCTTATGTTTCGTTTAAGGGACCATGCAGGGGGCAACGAGAAGTTGTTAAATTTGATACCATCTGGTTTGACTGTGTGTGGTAACGATGATCGGATTGCTGGTCTTAATCGCAGAGTTAGCACAAATGATAAAATAAAGGTATTACCTCCATTAGTTAGTCACTGTAAGTACTGCACCCTGTACTATAGTGCAGGGACTTTGACCCGATTTTTGAGTAACTTTAAAAATTCATAAAAAATCTAATTTTGATCGGAATCAGCTCAAACTTTCTACGCAACATAAGTACATGTATATGCATCAGAAAATATCATAAAAATGGAGAATTCTCTACTTTTCATTTTTGGCGAAATTTGGCCAAAGTCCCTGTACTATAGTACAGGGACTTTGGCCTGATTTTTGAGTAACTTTAAAAAATCATAAAAAATCTAATTTTGATCGGAATCAGCTTAAATTTTCTACACAACATAAGTACATATATATGCATCAGAAAATGTAATAAAAATTGAGAATTCTTTACTTTTCATTTTTGGCAAAATTTAGCCAAAGTCCCTGTACTATAGTACAGGGACTTTGGCCCAATTTTTGAGTAACTTTAAAAAATCATAAAAAATTTACTTTTGATCGGAATCAGCTCAAACTTTCTACGCAACTTAAGTACATGTATATGCATCAGAAAATATTATTAAAATGGAGGATTTTCTGCTTTTTATTTTTGCCAAAATTTGGCCAAAATCCCTGTACTATAGTACAGGGACTTTGGGCTTTCAGTAACTTTAAAAATAATAATTTTAGGTTTTCTGACAATCATTGCACTCTTGCTGTAGGTTGGTTCATTGACAGTCACTGCTTACGAGACTCCCTGCCACACAACTGGACACATTTGCTTTTACGTGAATAGTAACGACAATTCTTCTAAAGCCGTTTTCACAGGTAGGAAGAGCTTGGGTGTGACTATAATAATGCCACTTAAATAGTAACTAAACTCATTCTTTTTTTTAATTTTTAAAAGTCTCAAATTAAACGAGTGATCAATATAGATCGGCTTTGCTCTCCTATTAGGTGACACTCTATTTGTTAGTGGGTGTGGCAGGTTTTTTGAAGGAACAGCTCAACAAATGTATCACGCATTGATAGAAGTTTTGGCTGAACTGCCTCCAGAAACAGTAAGTGTTCATAAATTACTATTACAACAGTCATGGAGGTACATGTATATGATATTACAATTGTATTAAATTACATTCCAGACTCTCTTTCTCTCTCTCCCTCTCTCTCTCTGTAGTATAGTCTTTTATCTTTTTAAAATGATAAACCAGTTATTCTTTTAATTAATTGATGTATGTAATAATTCATTTTTATACAAACTAAGACATTCTCTTTAAACAGGATGATAATTGCTATATTATAATCATTTTATATGCTTTGATATGCAATAGAGTTTATATTGTATACTATACCCTAGCTGTAGTGCTTTGAATGTATTCTCTAATCACATTAATTTTACTATCATATCCTCTATTATCCAGCAAGTGTACTGTGGTCACGAATATACAGTCAAGGGTTTGGCTTACAGCCAACACGTTGAACCCGGCAACCAAGCAGCTGCTGATAAATTAGTATGGGCAAAGGTTAGTATATTGTGTAGCTGGTTTGGCATATGAATCAGTTTGTGTATTTTAATCTCATTTAGTGTGTGTGGCAGTCCTGTGACATAGCAGCATTATATTACTGTATGTGTATTGTTTGTTTATGTTGGGTTGAGTTATGTCTTTTGAATGATATTCTTTCTCTTAATGTTTCCTCAGGCCAAGAGAGAGGCTGGTGAACCAACTGTTCCTTCCACCATTGGAGAGGAACTAACTTATAATCCTTTTATGAGAGTGAGGTACGTATGGGTACATTGGTTACTGGTTAATGGTCAATGGTCAATGGGTATTGGTTAGTGGTTACTGGTTAATGGTCAATGGGTGTATTGGTTACTGGTTAATGGTCAATGGGTGTATTGGTTACTGGTTAATGGTCAATGGGTGTATTGGTTACTGGTTAATGGTCAATGGGTGTATTGGTTACTGGTTAATGGTCAGTGGGTGTATGTATTGGTTACTGGTTACTGGTTACTGGTTATTGGGTGTATGTATTGGTTGTTGGGTGGGAGGGCAGACACCCTCTCCTCCTCTCACTGGTTTAAACCAGCTGCACCTTCTCCCACACTAGCACATGTGTACCTGTTTATACAAATTAGTCAATTATTATTGTCATTATTATTATTATTATTATTTTATTGTTATTATAATTGTTATGTTATGTGTATTTAATGTACTTCTCTTGGAAATGTTAGTAGACAATACTTTTCTCTTCCTGTCCATGTACGTGTACATACTGTACATGATGTTCCTCCAGGTGCTTTTTTGTTATTGATCCAATTCATGTGGTTGCTTCCATTTGGTTTCTGGCCAGACCTCATTTCTATGTCTTGTAGCTTATAGTGTATACATAGTGGTTATAGTACTCACACACACACTCTCTCTCTCTCTCTGATGCAGAGAGGCTTCTGTTCAAGCTCATGCCAAAGCAACAGATCCAATCTCTACAATGGCCTATCTTCGTAAAGAGAAAGACTCATTCTAATTCCCCTTGTTTATCAAGATGGAGTTCATAAACGTGCTAAATGAACTAATATTCTCACTCTTTCAAACTATATTTGTACCTTTAGCTATAAATTCAAATCATGAAGTGCTGTTGACAGACTGTCCTTGTGTCTTTGTCTCATGTCATGTTGTGCCTCTTTGTCTGTAACTCTCTCTCTCTCTCTCTGTGTTGTGTGTGAATATTAATGTATTATGAATATTTTCATTCATATTATCAAGTTAATAATCTGTACTCATGTCTTTAATCTTCTTTGCCAAGAGATAGTAATCATATTGAAAGAATATCCAGTACAAAGTGATCTGATTAAGATGTAGTATATGGTAATAGACAATAACAGCAAAAGAGAGGAAGTAAAACTGTACAACAACATTGCAATGATCGTGTGTGTGTGTGTGTGTGTGTGCAACAATTAGTGATAAGGATAAAGATGCATCATTGTATGTGTTTATATTGTACATGTTGTATGATTGAGTAGTGTTCTGTGAATGAATGTTGTTCCCTGGTGACGTGAGTGTAACAGGAATCATTTTGATGCCTACACGATGAAAAGGAATAATGAATTTGTCTAATGATGTACACCTTTAGTTTATTCATCAACAGTACCTCACTGTAGTGTACTACCCCCCCCCCCACTCACTCAGTGTTCATGTACATTGTAACTGTTGTTAGTCATATGCTCTTAAAATATTCATATTGTTGAGTCACTCTCACTTTATGATGCTTCTCTCTCTCTCTCTCTCACCTTCATTTTTGAGAAGAAGCTAAATGACAATCTCTTCTTGATTCCTTTCTTGTTGTGTCTGTTCAATTGTACATACTTTCCTTCTCCAACGTCTTCGTCCACTCTCACTGGTAGTTGCCATGCTCCTTGTAGCTGTCGTTTTTGCTGTATCCAGCTGGCCATTTGCTGCCGTGGGTGACCGATAAATGCTGCACATTCGATGTGACCTTTGTCCATTGCCAGATCCCTAAATATAAATATTATTGAACCATTAATGATGATTAATTTATATAACGTGTAGACTACATGTGAACTGGGTATTTGTATAATCATTATCACATTATTTGATTCTTGTCGCCTTAAAATCTAAAGTTGTGTTAACTAGTTGGAAATATGACACTTCTATGATCAGCATCCTTGTAACATGGGAGGTTGGGGCCATAGTATTATTAGTACTACTAGAGTGTAATATTGTGTTTGGACTAAAGGCAAGGCCCAATTCTTTATTTGCTATTTCTCCTGTTTAGTTTTTGTTCAATTCCCTCTTGTTTACTATTTTGTTTTGGGCTCACTTTGGCTTGAATCCATCGGCGTCTTGCATGTCCAGTTTGACCGAGTGATTGTAAAAGACATGTAGACATTCTATGTGCCCGTGTTCAGCTGCATCGTGTACTGGAGTTGCGCCATAATCATCTCTCTCTAGCCCACTGGCCAAATGATGGTGCAACATCCATTCCAGTAACAATACATGCCCTGTAGAGTTGAGGATTGAGTTATAGATTTTTATCAATTAATAGTGAGACATTACAATTATGTTTCGTTACCTTTAGCAGCTGCAAAATGTACTGGCGTGGCTCCGTCACTGGTCCTGAGGTTAACCGGACAATTGGCTGACCTGACTAGCCAGTGGACCACGTGTAACTGTCCGTTCTGAGCCGCGGCATGAATGGGGCTCATGCCATCATAAGATGCCGTTCCAAGGTCAGCCCCAGCGTACTGCGTCAGCCATTGCAAGCAGTCCAAGTGTCCTTCTTGAGCAGCAAAATAAGCTATTGATCAAAGAAAGATTGATATTAATTTTAAAACAGTTTTTGTAATAATATACCTGGTGTCTCTCCTCCTGTTGTGGTAGAGTTCACGTCACATTTTCCTTGAATGCAGAGCTCTTTCAGGCAGTCCAATTTACCAGACATAGCAGCATAGTGGACAGCAGTGGCGCCATCAGAATCCTTAGTGTCGCTCCGACAGTCAGAATTGAGCAGTAGGTATCTCATTGACTCGATCTCCCCGTGTTGAGCGGTGGTATGTAATGGAGTGGCTCCTTTGTAATCCCTGCACAACGCCAGGGAAGGCTCTATCTCTAGAAGTAGCTGTAAAACACGGGCTGATCCTTTCCGAGCTGCAAGATGGCAGACAGTGACTCCTGTGGTTAGTAGAGGAGCGAGTAGGTCAGGCGGTGATGGTGAAGAGAGAATCTCTTTGAGGCAACCGGCATGATCACTGCTGACCGCCTCTATGAGTGGAGAGGAAGAGAGACTACAAGAATGGCAGCAGTTGAGCCCGTCCACCAAATCAATGAGCTCTTCGTCTTGCTCTGTGTTCAAGCAGCTCCTGTTGGTGAGTATGACGCCAGTCTCTGCTCTGTCTCTGGTAGTTTTGGCGGCCGCTGGCTCTTCTTCGTAGCCAGAGACAGGCTGGAAGATAGTAATGAGACTACTTGGGGCTGTTGCCAAAGCCTCTGCCATCATTTCAGCTGAGAAAATGTCGAGAAAATGAGAAAAATGCAACTGAATTGATGTTACCCAGCTTTTATACATTCATGCGATATGCCTGCAGGCGAGCCCCGCCTACTCACTGCACTGCAAGATGGCTTGCAGTTTCAGATCATTAAATGGCTGTCTTCTTTCTTCTCTGAGTAAAGGTAGAAGACTCTCCTCAGTTAGTAAACCTGGCAGGAAATATGTCCTAGGCTGTGGCAGTAACGTTGTGGACAATATATACAACGTTAGAGGTACAACCATCGATCATCGTGTAGTGAGATAGAAGAGGGTGTGTATTTGTGGTGTTGTGGATCTAGTTGTATATTTACTTGTACTTTGTATGTTCTCTTGTACAGTTGTTCCTCAAGCAGGAGAAAAGGGATTCTTTATGAGGTAACTTATGCTACATAGTCTCAGTTTCATTTATTTATTTATTATTATTTATTTTATTTATTATCTACTAGTCCTTTTAAAGCCAGAGAGGCCCAGTTGATAGGTGGAGTAACTCTTAACCACTTAGCCTGGGCTGCCCTAGGAGGAGGTATTTATGGGTGTTATAAGAGAAGGGGTCTGGTATTATTGAGTGTGTTCCTTAGTCCCGGCAGGACTGCTAGCTTTTCAAGGCAACGATGAAGGGGGAAACTTTATTCGGTCAAGATTGAAAAGAATGGGAGTGACAACTGAATTTATTGAAGGTTAGGAAGAATATGATATCTCTTACCCACCCACCTTCCCCCTCTCTCTCTCTCCCCCTCACTCTCTCCTTCATTCAAACACCATTCACTTCCTTCCTCCTCTTCCTTCTCTCTCTCTAGTCAAAGATAATTACATCACTTCAGAAGTAAGTCACTAATTAACTTTAATTTGTCAATATAGTGCACCATGTGAACTTAATGCATCGTCTGTGTTGTTGAAATATGATACCACTAATGACTAATAGTGTCTGCATGTACACACATGTATATATGCATTAAGTAATTTATGTTGTGTGTGTGTGTGTGTGTGTGACTACCTGTGTGTGTGTATCAATAACAGACACACCTTATTTCCTCTCATTTGTCCTTGTGTCTCACAAATTGTTGTATGTGTGGGATCGCAGTCTAGTGGTAATGCAATATACATTACTGATTACTGTTTGGCGTAGGTTGATGAGTATAAAATATCATTTGTACTATACACTACATGGACATGGTATACTGACGTCATGGTAATGATAGGGTTATGGGGATTGGGCAGGATTACTGAAATGTGGGGCCACACACTCAGTGATCATTTGTGTTGATGTACTTATGCTATGTAGAAAGTTTGAAGTGATTCTGATAGAAGATGTTTGAGTTATGAGCATTTTTAAAAGTCAGCCAATTTCTAAAAACTACCCAAGGCTATAGCCCATGGTTTTTTCCAAAAATGGCTCCAAAATCACCCCCAATTTTTATTACATTTTCTGATACATATTGATGTCCTTATGCTGTGTAGAAAGTTTGAGCTGATTCCGACTTCAATTTTTAGAGTTATTGGAGTGTACATGTAGAATCATGTTCAGTATTTGAGGCAGCAGCTGTGTTATATTACGTTACATTTTGTTAGTGCCATGTATTCATTCAAGAAGACGGTGAGAGGAGCATCTTACAAGCACCAGCTGCTTCTTTCCTTATCAACACGCAATCAGCAAGAGCTGCATTCGGTATTTAAATTATTATAATTTTATTATTTAAAGACATATTGTTCATCTCCTTCTGTCCTTCCTCAGAGTCTGCGATTAAGAATAATGCTTCCATGGTAACCACTGAGATATCCCAGCTGCCTTTTACTGGAGTCCTGGAGATACTAAAAATGGCAAAGTGAGCTATTACTAGCAGCTGCTAGCGTATAAAGATTGCTACTACATACAAGCCTCCATACTTTGTACAACTTCTTACCATATCGTGTTCCTTTTGTTTATCAATATTTATTATCATCCGTGCACTCTTCACTACATGTACATACAGAGAAGCAGGTGTTGTCTCCATTTTGGATTTAGATGTGCCCCCTAAGGTCAGTTATGGAAATTATAACTATGTATTCAGTGCATTTGCTGACATAATGGTAATATATATGGCCTCTTTATAAACACAGACACCTCCATTTAACGGACAGCACCTAGTGTACCAATTACATTCCTTACTGTATAAAATAACCTCCCCATAAGGACACCTCTGTATAATAGAGACACTTTCAAAGTGTCCATTATATAGAGGCTAGTCATTTGGTATTGTGAGCTGCAGGTGCTTTTAATTTTGCCGTATATAACTCAATTGGTTAGTCTTGTGTAGTCTCTCTCTCTTAATATTATATTTAATTAATATTTATTAATTTATTGCTCAGCTGCTGTGGCACGTCTCTCTATTCAATGTCTAGTCAATATAATATCACTTTAATTAATCAATTAGTTAATAATAATAATAATAATAGTTTGTTTAATTAATGATCTAACCCTCTTTGGCTGGCTCAGTCTTAATAGTACATGTCTTAGAGTCCAGCTGCTCTCTCTCTTTCCCAAGTTACTCTCCCTCTCTCTTGCTAATGACTACTGTAGAGCAATGTATACTCAATATGTTAATATATTGATGTATTATTTATATCAATATTTTATATTAATATATTGATATCAATATATTAATGTTGTGAATGTACAGTACACGAAACTCCCCTGAGGCCTTCAATGAGAGACTAATAATACGATATATTAATTTAATTATCAGTTGTAAAACTTTGATATACCCATGTGCACTCTTGATATAAATTAATTAAATACATGCAGCTGTTGTAACATCGTTATGACGTGTGTGTGTGTGAGTTTGTCTTTCTTTTTAGGCGGCCATTGAAGAAGCTAAGCTTGGTGTGATGGAGGACATGTTGGAGTGTTTGAGACTAGCGGATATCATTAAACCAGCCAAAGCAGCTGCCGATGAAGTTTTGAAAGTCATGGGAAGAGAGAGTAGGTATGGTCTCCTTATTTGTCAGTAATTGTGAACACACCATTGCTAATGGCCTGTATAACTTGTTGCTATGACATTGACAATTCATTTATAAGCTTTGTGTGTGTGTGTGTGTGTGTGTGTGTGTGTGTGTGTGTGTGTGTGTGTGTGTGTGTGTGTGTGTGTGTGTGTGTGTGTGTGTGTGTGTGTGTGTGTGTGTGTGTGTGTGTGTGTGTGTGACTTAACATATTTTGACCTATTTTCACACAAACACATTCACACACGTTCACTCATGTACATGCACACACGCACAGTTCAGGAGGCCTTGTTGATGCTGCAGTTAATCTAATGGAGGAGTGTAATTCAAAGATGGTTGCTATCACTGATGGAGCTTCTGGCAGCATATTTGCAACAAAGAACAACGTAAGGCAACTAATGGAGTACGTGAGCCTCATATAACTCTATTGTTCGATACATACCAGCATGTGCATATATTAATATAATAGCTTTTACTAGTTGTATCTGAATGTGCATAACTGTATCTGTAGCACAATAAACTGATGAATAGTGGGGCAGAGGTAAAGGGTGAAGTACATTTATACAAGCACATTTGACATATCCACCTGCAGTGCATTCACTAGTGATCTTATGGTTGTGATATAATGTACCATGGGACTGTACTGCCACTCTTAACAACTCATGACACAAAATAACAAATATAATACACATTATTAACTGAATTGTATAGAGGATTCTGTTATTCCATTTTGGGTGTACATGTACAAGATATGCTTGGCATTAGTTTGATTGGTGTCTTGTGGCATATTTGGTGGCTGGCCTAATTTACTGAATTAACTTGTTGTTGGAGACTAATGTATGATTATACTGTAAGGAAGGCCATGGGTCATAATGTCTATGGTCATATATAGCAGTTGTATTAAAATATCTATTACCATTCATTAACCATTGTTGTAAGTACATGTAGAGCTTCTCTTTGTGCTGATCTTTTGTATAACACATTATTGTTTAACAATTACTGCAGTGTCACAATTACTGTAGTGTCACATGTTTGTCTCTGTGTGTCCTAGCTAACTTATAAAGCCAATTTAAAGCACACAATACTTCATTGTTACTAACAAGTTCATTATTATTATTATTAATTCTCTTCTTTAATACTTATTATAATTATTAAAGGTTATTAAGGTAAAGTCAATGCCAGTTGATAAAGTGATTGATACGACTGGAGCCGGAGATGCTTTTCTAGGAGGACTGATTGTAGGTAAGCAGTGCATTAGTACCATATGGTACACTGGTACAATAGTACACTCGTATAATGGTATAATGGTATAATGGTACACTGGTATAATGGTATATTGGTACACTGGTTTAATGGTATATTGGTACAATGGTATACTGGTATAATGATACAATGGTACACTGGTTTAATGGTTTAATGGTATAATGGTATATTGGTATAATGATACATTATAATGGTATATTGGTATAATGGTACATTGGTATATTGGTATAATGGTACATTGGTTTAATGGTATATTGGTACACTGGTACAATGGTTTAATGGTATATTGGTACACTGGTATAATGGTTTAATGGTATATTGATACACTGGTATAATGGTTTAATGGTATATTGGTACACTGGTATAATGGTTTAATGGTATACTTTAGGTCTATCAAGTTACGGGTTCCCAGGGTCTGTTGCTGAGCTTGAGCGGTTAGGAGGAATAGCTAATGCTTTTGGAGCAGCTGGAGTCCAGTCAGTAGGTGGAGTACCTGTCCCATCATCAAAGTATGAGCTGTATTTACAACTGATGATCTTACCCTTTCTCTCTCAGGAAACTGCTGCAACACTATTTACCAGACATGACGTTTGGTAAGGCTGTGTATGTATGTAGTACAGTTTTATTGAGTGTATGATTGTTGATTATTTTATTCTTTAAGGTGTTGAATTTGGGAGTGACGAAGCTTTGAAAGGTTTTACTTCTTCCCTTGAGAGAGATGCAGCTGCCACCCAACAGCTTCTCTCTTCAGATTTTGATAGGAAAAGTTTGAACGACGTCTTAACTATTTTGGAGGATTGCCAGGGGCAAATATTCACCAGCGGAATAGGTAAAAGTTTTAACAAGCAAGCTTGTGAAAAAGTTTGACCAAATGATTGTGATCATAATAACACATCAAAGAGTGACATGTGGACATTCTTTCATTTGTTGTAGGTAAATCTGGTCTTATTGCTAGCAGATTAGCCGCTTCATTGAGCTCCATTGGAGTATCATCACAATACGTCAATGCTGTAGAATGGAGGCATGGAGATCTAGGTTCCTCCCTTACTCTTACATCTCTCCTTATTTACACCTTTCTCTGTCTCTGTCTCTCTCTGTCTCTCTGTCTCTGTCTCTCTGTCTCTCTCTCTGTCTCTCTGTCTCTGTCTCTGTCTCTCTGTCTCTGTCTCTATCTCTGTCTCTCTCTCTGTCTCTCTCTGTCTCTCTCTACAGGTAAACTGACTCCTGGTAGAGATGTGTGTATATTCATTTCTCACAGCGGATCTACTGATGAAACAGTTGAAGCAGCTGCTTCTGTCTTAGCTAAAGGAGTCACTACGATATCAATCGCTGGGAAACAAGGCACAGCAACACAGCCACACACTTTTAAATACGCGTACATGTAGCATAGTGTCTTTACTAGTGTCATTATAACAGAGTAGTAGTTGTTATTATTATTTTTGATCTGTTATGTGCAGGCTCGTCTCTAGGGAAATTGTGTACCCACAGTGTTGATTACAGCCATATTGATATTAATGAGGAGCCGTTTGGCTGTCTACCCACTACTAGTCTTGCAATACAGGTATTATTAATAATATTAATAATAATTGAATATTTTAACCTATAAGCTTGTTTATTGTTGATATTAATTATGTTGTCTGTAATTTAATAATTTTATATTTTTAAATATTTATTTTTAAAATCTTTAGGACATCCTAGTTAATGCCATAGTCTCTGAGCTGATATTAAGGAAAGGTGTGACTGAAAAAGATTTTGGTGGGAACCACCCAGGTGGAACGATAGGATCAAGACTAGGAAAATGAATGACTGCATAACTACTAACAATTTAACGCCCACACACTTAACGAGTAATGCTGCCGCTGCTGCTGTTTATAATTGATTATAATTTAATGTGGAAATAAGTATGATCACTTCTGATGCATTTTAAAATGAAACAGGTGCATATAGATGTGAGAGGTTAGGTGTTTAATTAAATTAACAATAAGTGATATCCATTTTATTTAGTGAGTGACTTCATCTTTTCAATAATTCCTTTCGTTGCTGCTCCAGTAACATTTCTAAGTGATCTGCCCTCTTGAGTGCCGCCTATGACAGAATGATTATAATTTATTATTAAATAATACAGCCATTTCTGTTAATATTTCTGTTCTTTACCTGATGCTGTGTTCTAAGTGATTTTAGATTCTCTTCTTTCTTAGCTAGAGCCTGTTTGACCCGATCATGTAGCTCAGCTAGTTCCCTCTCCTTTCCTCTTTGAAGTCTCTCTAACTCTAATTTGTGCTTCGCCTGTAACTCACTTAACTCTAACTTGAACTGCCTATTCTCTTCTTCAATTGATATTAGTCTAAAAGAAGAAGAGTAGAGAGAGAGAGAAAGAGAGAGAGAGAGAGAGAGAGAGAGGTAGGGAGGAAGAGGGAGAGTAGGACAGTGAGATGGTAAGCATATCTCAATGTGTTTGAGTCTCTCCTTGCCTCTCTGCAAATTCTTGTCTGACTATGTCAGCAAATTGGTCTCGTTCACGGGTCAGTCTAGATGCTGTTTGACTGATCTCTGCTACTTCTTCTTCCTTTAGTCGGAGGTGAGAGCGTAGTTTGACCACTTCACCTTCCAAATCTGATAACTGGCTCTGGAAATAAGGAGAGGATTACAAGGGGAGTAGACCCGGTTGCATAATCTGACCAATCACATGTACTGTATGCACAGTTTGGCCAAAAATGAAAAGTAGAGAATTCTCTATTTTTATAATAATTTCTGATGCATATACATGTACTTATGTTGCGTAGAAAGTTTGAGCCAATTCTGATCAAATTTGGATTTTTTACAAATTTTTAAATTTGTTCAAAAATCGGGTAAAAGTCCCTGTACTATAGTACAGGGACTTTGGCCAAATTTCATCAAAAATGAAAAGTAGAGAATTCTTGGTTTTTATTACATTTTCTGATGCATATACATGTACTTATGTTGCGCAGAAAGTTTGAGCTGATTCCAATCAAAATTAGATTTTTTATGATTTTTTAAAGTTACTCAAAAACCGGGTAAAAGTCCCTGTACTATAGTACAGGGACTTTGGCCAAATTTCACCAAAAATGAAAACTAGAAAATTCTCAATTTTTATGATATTTTCTGATGCATATACATGTACTTATGTTGTGTAGAAAGTTTGAGCCAATTTTGATCAAATTTGGATTTTTAACGAATTTTTTAAGTTGTTCAAAAATTGGGTTATAGTACAGGAACTTTGGCCAAATTTCGCCAAAAATGAAAAGTAGAGAATTCTCAATTTTTATGATATTTTCTGATACATATACATGTACTTATGTTGCACAGAAAGTTTTAGCTGATTCCGATCAAAATTAGATTTTTTACAAATTTTTTAAAGTTTTAAAAACCGGGTAAAAGTCCCTGTACTATAGTACAGGGACTTTGGCCAAATTTCGCCAAAAATGAAAACTAGAAAATTCTACATTTTTATAATGTTTTCTGATGCATATACATGTACTTATGTTGCATAGAAAGTTTGAGCTGATTCGAATCAAAATTAGATTTTTTATGATTTTTTAAAGTTACTTAAAACATATAATATATACATGTACTTACTTTCATTGTGTTAAATTTTTGAAGAGTATTCTTTTCTGATCTCTCAACTTCTCGTAATTCAGTCTCATATTTCTCTCGTATTCTCCTACACAAAAATACATTAATAAATCATATTACATGTATATATACCTAAAATAATAATAATAATAATAAATCTCACTTTATTCTTGATTCTGCTCCTCTCTCAGTCTCATCTCTAGCAGTCGCTGTCTCCTTTTCTAACTTTTGAATAACAGTCTCTATCTCCATGTCCCTCTCTCTTCTCAATCTTTCTCTCATCTCTCTCTCCCTCGTCATTAGAACCGCCTCCTGCTTCTTGAGGTAATTCTCTTCCCACATTTGGCGCTCAATTTTCATCCTTTCCTGAAGCTCCTTAAATTCAGTTTAAGACACAATAATAATAATGATAATGGACACACATAGTCTTCTTACTGAATGT